CATTGACTCACTTTCGTAGTCCCGAAGCACTCACACTTGAGTTCCCAAAGAAACTCAAATCCACTACACTTAGTTGTATATTGCATTATGTGTTTCTTGCAATAACCTCTCTTTTATGAACTAAACGTTCATAAACTAAATTGAACATGTAGTTTCAAATTTAGTGCTTTTGAAACCCGAAGTTTTCATAAAACAATACATCCATGAAAACCCAACGTTTTTCATGTAAGCCATGTCTTAGAACTCGAATGTTCTAACTTTGATGCTTATGGATGATTCATTCCAATAACACTAATCACAATCTTGTTCCCTCCAATTCAATGGATTGTCGTACCGTTACAAGTTCGATTTTCTTGATTTGGACATTTCTAATAGAAACCACTTTATGTGGGGTACAAGACGTGAATCTACACTTGACTATTAAAGTAGCTGAGAAAATATTGACGCCAACAATGGCATAGAAGAGCTAAATAAGCCTCTGCCATGATCTTCATTCGAAGACTTATGCTCAAAGCATTACAAGTCAAAGTACCTCCTGAACGAGGATTCCATGGCTCATTGGCTCGCTCATACGGATTGTCTAATCATGAAAAACATTGCCTAAAGCACACCATGATTACGTCCATGAATGAGTATGATTCTGAAGTTTATAAATCCGATCGAATTTTGACTGGAGAATACTTTTCTCGTCCTTTCATGTTTCTAACTCGCCCATGAAGCAATAGTGTAGAAAGCGGAAGTTTACCGAATTCTCGAATCTGATTACTACCACAAACATATGGTAGAATCAGGGCCTGCCAAGGTGTGGCATCATGCCCAAAGCATGATCCTTGGTACCTAAGACCTAAAACTTCAAGAATAAGGGATAATATTCCCAAACCTCAACCCTGCAGAATCTACTTCCGTCTTAATGGAATAGATCATTGGTTATGCACCTGTTCGTGCCCCTACCAATGTTGTTGAAGAGTACCATTCTATTAGTCAATATGTGAGACTAATTTTGCTCCACTGAACATCGTTAGAAGAGCAAAATTTTGACATGGATGGCCTTGTTGGCCGAATCCCTTTAGTAAACCATTTACTTTGTGAACATTTTTCTATGTTCTTGGATTCAAGTTTGGTGTATGTTTTACTTATGGATAATCTTATTGATATTGTCCTCAAATATGAGTTAATTGAATCATGTTTTCTAACACATGTGACCTATTCAATTAACCACGTGATTAGGTAGAAATGTGGGAAAGTTAGTTGTTTGTATGAATGCGTATTACACACACTAACTTTACACCTAAATCACATCTCTAACAACGACTTCAGATCTATCCAACCTGATTAAGAGCATTGGCACGCTCCTCGTTGTATGAATGGTACTGCATCACCATTTAAGAGACCTTAGATTCTCTCCGTCGTTGAGTTTTTAAGGTTATTCGAGATGACAATGATCATAAATGAAACCACTGAAGAAAATAAAGTGAATATCTTTGCACTACCTCCAAAAATGAGCATGAAGCTTTGATTTGGGGCCAATGGGTTGTCTCCCAACTGGAAACACGCCACATGTGGCCGGCATGGAGCTTGATGATTGAGCAGTTTACTTGCTTTGGCACGACCATTTAGAACACTTAGGTCAAACAATAATGCTACGACGCATCTCCTTACTCGAAGTAAGAATCTTGTGCTTACAAGCACACTTGCCAAAGCCCGCTCGTGGTAGGAATTTGATTTTCTAAATCATTCCTATTAATGATACGAAACAACTCTCTTTTCACAGTGGATTCAAGGGAATATATGTGGACTAATCCAACCAAAATGCGGACCATATAAATACTTATTGTTTTGGTTGATGAATCGACAAATTGGTCACATGTTTGTCCACAAACATTATTGCTAAACCTCATGGCCGATTAAGGGTTCACCACCCTACTTATCCCTTAAGGTTCGGGAGAGTGGATAATGCCGGAGAGTTTATATCGACGGTTTTCGATAAAGTATTGCATGTTGTTTTGGGTTTATAATTGAACATCGAATTCCCATGATTCACCCCAAATAGCCTCGCCTAGCGATCATAAAGCGCAATTTAAATAATCACCTTGATTTTGGTAAACGTACCAAGCTTTTGGTTTCTGGCTAGGGCTATGCAATCCTTGTACGCAGTTATGTTGGTCCGCCTTGAGGCCCATTGCCACCCAACCTATATGACGTTACAGTTGGTTACTGGGTACGAACCTGACGATTTTCGTATTTACGCATTTAGGTGTGCTTTCCATGTGACAAGTTGCACTGCCACAACGTACCACCATTGGTCCTTAAAGAAGGATGTGTATCTTTTGTCGATCATGATTCTCCTTCACACTAGCTCTCTTTGAGCCCTTGCACGCAATCTCTTTACTGCTCATTTGTGGGTTGTCACTTTAATGAAACAGTCTTCTCGCCGTTAGGGGGAGATAAGAACGTTAACGTTCCTGTAGAACGACACGAATTTGTGTGGACGTTGCCCACTATGTCTCATCTCGATCCCTATACTGCACAATTGTGACAATCAAGTGCGATGAATTCTAGCCTTCAGAATGTTACTCTAGACGCATTCCTTTGATCTAGCTAAAATGACGAGATCATATACCAGTTGCAAACATGCTTGTAAGGATAGACGTACTTAACTGACGTCGAGTCAACATTCCTAGAGGGTGTGCCGCCCCTGTTGGACGATTTGGATGCCCCTGTTGGACGGTCCGGTACACCGGCGGATAGCCAATCAATTTGTCTTGGCCTGGCGCATGACAGATCACTCGGTTCGTAGGATTCACTTCCCTATAAGAGGAAGGCACAGCACAAAAATGAATCTAAACTCGATCGCTGTCTCAAATCATTTTCATCTCATGAGATTAATCCGGATTACTCCCGAGACATGAAGTTCTTGCTCCAGTATACTAATTTGGATGAGCTAAATGGAATTGAAATGAGATTATCATCGATGATGTTTTCACTTATATGGTAGCTACCGACATAAATGAAAAGCGACGATATCGAACCGTGTTCCGTTAATTAAGTGACAACGTAGAACTGATTGGACAACCGAAATTACTATCTAGGTCAAATTCCTTACTAAAGTGTGTATTGGACATGTCGTTCCTACACTGCCCAAGGTAATCTTATTGTGTTACAAGTGGGAAAGGAAGCGTTATAAGATGAATGAAATATTGTGATATGATGCACGCCTTATGGTGCAAGGTTTCTCTCAAACATCATGTGATTGATAAAAACATTATGAAATGTGGTTAGTGTTTTCTTCATGGGGATATAGATACGAAGATTTACATGTTAAGTTCCCGAAGAATTATAGGAACTGGTTCAAATAGTTCCAAACCACGGAACACCCTCTTAACTTGTTTGAGGCGTTCATTTTCAATACGACGGATGTGGTATACCCGTCTAAGTGATTATTTGATCAGTCAAGGATATGAATTGTGCCATTGCGTGTTAAACTATGAAGTCTTATTCCAAATTGCTAGAGTTACAATTTATGTCGTTAACACGAATCTCACTAAGACTCTGGAAGAGCTTGAGAAAACTGTCTCGCACCTGAAGATGGAATTTGAGATGAAGGATCTTGGGAAACTCGTTTATGCTTTGACTTGAAGTTCAAGCGTTGTTCTGACGATACCTTGGTTTACCAGTCGAACTACACCCTGAATGTGTCACCTTTGAGTTTACCTTTGATAGTTCATACGTTATATGCAAATGAGACCCTTGACGAGGTTATGGAATCCGAAATTCCATATTTTAAGTTCAACTTTGCGCTTCGTTGTACTTAGCTCATTGTATTAAGACATGACATCTCATTTGCTGTTGATCTTGGTAAAGATGCAGCATCGCGCCTACACGCAACCACTGAATTAATATTAAAGACGTACCCTGAAGGTACTACGAGGGCAAATCCCAACGCATCTCAAGCGGATCCAACCCCCCTGATCCTCAGAATGATGTTTGCCTTGTTGTTATGCTGACGCAGGTTACTTATCAAACCCAAACAAGGCAAAATCCCCAAATGGTTATGTCTTTACTGTTAGGGATATCGCAATATCTTGGAGGTCCACGATATGACCTTAGTTGTGAAATCTTCGAATCGTTCCAAGACTCACCTCGCTTCACTATGCCATAAGTGAGACATGGTTAGGAGTTTTTATTAAGCATATTCGAAGTACTTGCTATGTTTTCATCCATCGTTGAGTCCCAACAACGATCCATCAAGATTGTTGCATGTATCCACCCGACCAAGCCATGATACATCAATGAAGTCAACACCAAGACATATTGCGTCTACATCTACATCAGCAAAGCATCAGGAGATTGAAGTCATGCAAGCCAATCCCAGACAATTTTGCCGACCTCTACACGACGTCACTGCCGAAGTCAACCTTCCAGAAGCTTGTCCGAGGAATTGGTATGCCTAACTATCATATGCAATGCTTGTAGTTATCATTTGGAAGTTATGTCAAACTCAGGGGGAGTATCCAGAAGTATACTCACTTGATCTTAATGTACTTTTTTTCCCTACGATTAGGAGCATTTTTCCCATTGGGTTTTTGCTACCTAACTAGGTTTTAACGATGCACCCATCATGGGCTGATCATATCCTTGTGAGCTCTTCTACTTGCGTCCAAAAGACGTATAGTTTTCACTTAATGCAACTTCTCACTTTTCTCTTTAGCCTATGGGTTTTTCTCCCACCTTAGGTTTTACCATAGCGAGGTTTTGTGAGTTTTACTTTTTATGCCTTCTTCCGTTGATTTGAGACTTGCATTCGCTCATTTTGCCGACAACTTCATCAACTGTACTTGCTTCATCACTGAAGACCTGATGTGCCATTTACTTGAGTATTTACACACTCAAGGGGGAGTGTTGCAGTCCTATTAAATTAGGAATGTGATTGTGTAAATCCTAGTAGATATGGGAATGTATCTTATATTCCTATTAGGAGTTGATTACCTATTAAATGTTGTAATCCTAAAGGGAAAGGTTTTTACCTATCCTACTACTATAAATAAAGGCACAATGAGAGTGGAAAAACACACATCCACAATTATACATCTCTCTCTTCTTTTCTCTATGCCGCACCCTCTCTCTCTATATGGCCTCGATAATTATTTAGTAAATTATGCCAACAACACTATCAACTTTATTTAATGATAGAAACAAAAGAATAATTTTTTTTTTAAAAAATACAAAAAACCAAACTCGCACTGGGCGCGTCCCCCCACCCCCCATTGCCCATTTCCACACTCACCTCTTTTCTCTCATTGTTAGCTGCATTAATGGATTTTTTTTTTTGGCTTAGAGTATGAAAAAAACTTCAAATTAAATTACATTCCTCAGTTTTATTTTTGTGGTGTTGTTTCCCAATAGTAGTCAAGGTGACAAGATATTTTTTAATGTGTCTGGAACACGGGATTGTACACCACGTGTCTCTACAAGTTATGAGATTTCGTGTTAAAAAATTAATAACATAAAAAATAAAATTTCTCACCACATACATAATAACACCTAGTGTACCATTTGTGTTCCGGGTGCAAGGAAAAATTTCTCAAGATGACACCCAAACTCAAGAAATTGGATAAAGAGCTACATTTGTAGATATGTAAAAAATGTGAGAGAATTTTAATTTGGTAATTGAAAACAACTTTTTAAATATAATTATTAAGAACATAATCTTATTAAGATCTTGATCTAAAGGATCACTTTTGGGTTCATCTTTTCGATCCAATGGATGCTTTTTCATGACCAAAAAGGATTTAAGCTTCAAAACTTATGAAACTGAACCACGAATTAGACACTATTTATAAAACTTGACCAATAAGTAGGCATTATTTATGAAACTAGACCAATAACTAAACTTTATTTATAAAACTGGACCAATAAATAGATAATATTTATGAAACGAAACCAAGAATTAGACATTATTTCTAAAACTAAACCGATAGGTTGAAACTATTTATAAAACTGGACTATACACTATTTGTGAAACTGGACCAAGAACTAGACATTATTTATGAAATATGACAAAGAACTAGATTCTATTTATGAAAATGAACAAATAACTAGACACTATTTATGAAACCGGACCAAGAAGAGACATTATTTATGAAACTGTACCAATTACTATACACTATTTATGAAATCGGACCTAATAAATCAAATAGGCACTGTTTATGAAGCACGACCAAGAATTAGGCACTATTTATGAAAGTGAACGAAGAACTATGCACTATTTATGAAAATGGACCAATAAATAGTGTAGTACCATTCAGTTTCATAAACAGTGTCTATGATTGATGCACGAGTCTCGTGCATCAGTTTTTATTTTATTTTTTTTTTACATTAAAATTGTGTCATTTTCATTAAAATTTAAGTTTTTTTTTGTCTTTTTATTAAAATTTAAGGATTTTTCATTACTATTTAATTCTTTTTCATTAAATAAAGTTATAGCTTGGTTTTTTGTTACAATAAACTTAGCCCAAGTCTTTTTCATAAAAGTTCCCTAAGATGTATCATTCTCTATACTTATCTAAATAAACAAAATTTTGTTCATATTCCAAACACTTCCTAACACAATAAATATTCAATCAAATTCATCTTGTAACAATTTGACTTCTTTATTATAAATTAGTTTTACTGTGTTATGTAATCATCTAAAGTTTGTAATTTTTTTTTCTAAAAAAAGAAAGGAAAAAAATTGAATGCGTTTGGCTCTTACCGTGTTACTCTTCAGTACAAAATAGACATCCTCGTTAGTAAACAACCTATTCCGTTCACCAGGATCTTAAATACATTGTTCCTGAACAATTGTCCTTCCCATTTCTTGTAGCAAATCATGCATCTTTATGGTTTTCCATCTCGGCTGTGAATCAATTGATATGAGAGACATATCAATAAGAATTCTAATTCCGGTTGTCGCAAAGAATCCACGAACATCTAAAATTCCTTTTACATACTCCACATCCCGCCCTTTATGAAAACATGCTATATCCAGAAATATCTCCTTCTCATTCTTTTCCAATCTATCATAACTTATTCTCAACACTTTCTGGATACTTTCGCTGGGAAATCGTTTTAGTTTGTTGAATTCATCTTCCCAATCTTCTTTGCTCTTGCAATTGAAGAACAAGGACCCCAGAACTGTAAGAGCCAAAGGTACGCCTCTAGCATAATGCGCGGCCATAACAAAAATTACAGCACAAAGGGACATCGGTGACAAGTCACCAGCGAAGAAATTAACAGCAGACATAACAAAAATTAATTAGCAATTTTAATTCCAGCACAACATAACACCAAAACTTATTAATTAAAAAGAAAGTAATAATAAGAGATTGAATTTGTAGACAAAATTTATAAATTAAATAATGTGTCACAAATAAACATGAATACATTTATTAACATTTCAATGATAATTCAATTATCAACTTATATGTTATTTAGTTTAGCAAATTCAGTTTACAAATTTAATCTCTCTAGCATTTCACTAAAAAGAAATAACAAACTATACAGAAATTAAACAGTATCAATCAATAAACACTGACTAACCTCTGACAAGTTACCAATTTGACAAGGGCTTGTTTGTTTTCTCCACCCTCAGAGCAGCAGCTGATGAAAAACAAGAAGAAGAAGAAGAAGAAGCCATATCCACAACCTCTAGTCTTCAGATCCAGGAAGTAGTAGTTGCAGATAGATTAATTGTGAATAGAGAGAGAGGTTCAGAATTAAGGAGGATCCGGTAAAGCAAGCGAGAGAGAGAGAGAGTGGTTCAGAACTAAGGAGGATCCAATAAAGCTAAACAGAGAGAGAGAGAGTAGAGAACATAATTAAGGCGGATTTAATGAAACGAGAGAGAGAGAGAGAGAGAGAGAGAGACTATTTCAGAATTTCCTCGAATTGGCTTTTGACTACATGCACAAAGTTCCAAACGCACTTATGAGTAAGAGATGAACAATTACAAAAGTATAAAAAGGGGGACATGGATCCTCTTCGGATCTAGTGGTCTTAATTCACCAAGTCCAATCATCCGGGCCATTGAAATTTAATCCAACGACTAAAGTTATTATAATTTTTAATAACGGCTAAAATTATAATAACTTTAACCGTTGGTTAAAATTTCAACGGTCCCGATGATTGGACTTGGTGGATTAGGACCACTAGATCCGGAGAGGATCCATGTCCTAAAAAGGGAGCATGGGCTAGGGCCCTCCCTTGCGAGAAATTTTTAGTTGTGACTGGAACACGGGTGGTACACCACGTGTTTTTATGTAAGTGGTGGTAAATTTTATTTTTTAAGTTATTAACTTTTTAACACATATATCTCATAATTTATATAGTGACACGTGGTGTACCACCTCGTGTGACGATCACACTGAAAAATATGTCCTCCTTTGTGTACTTTGCGTACTCGGTTTTGAATTTTCCAATTAGTCACTGATTTCTTTTAAGAAATTTCCAAGCAGTTCTGATTGAGGACATTTTATAATTTTTCAGAAGTAAAAAAAGAAGTGAATTTTACACTATAAAATCATGGCGGGTAGGGTGAAATTTTCATACCCTCTTTGGATCCGAAAGAGTAATCGTGGTTTGCCACTAGTTATCCTCCTTAAATATATATATATATATATATATATATATATATATATATATATATGTGTGTGTGTGTGTGTGTGTGTGTGTGTATTTATATAGTTGTTCGTCAATGGAGATTGAAGATTTGGTATCTGTCTTTCCAAGCATAGGTGACAAATCAAGTCGTTGGACTATTAATGAAAAATCACCACAAGGTATTACACAATCATTAAAACTATCAAGCTCACCACCATCTTATGATAAAAATCAAACTAAATGGGTCTTAATAGTTATTCATTAATAATTCAATTTGTTAGTTTGTCACCTCTATTTTCAATGTCACAGCCCGTTCCAAAACTTTTGTCGGGAAAGTCAAAATGACGGATTTACCCTCAACAGGCATTAAGGTACGTGTGTGTGTGACATTATCTAGTTTAATCTTAGATATGTTTTGGAAGAAAATAAATAAGATAAGTTGGATTATTAATTTGGTTCTTGTTAATTGGTTAGGGATTTAGAAAAATGGATGGTGTGGATTGAATGTGGACATCAAAACCCTCACACTCTCCCTCTCTCTATCCCGTAGCCCTCTCTCTCTCCTCCATCTCGACTCACTCTCTCTCTCACACCCATTTGGTACGGCCTCACCCAAAAATCCCCAAAACTCAGTGGATCGAAGCAACCAAGGTAAGAATCTTCATCCTTGAGATGTTTTGAGTTGATTGGTACTAGTTTTAGGACGTGAAACCTTCGATTTCACGTGAACCCGAAACCCCCATTTTTGGTCACTGTTCATGCACACGTGAAATGTTGTGTTTCAGGGAATTCTAAGCTTATAGTGAGCTTAGTGAGGTCCTAAGGAAGCTCGGAGTGCTTCGTTTGAAGGATTTGGAAGTCGGGATCACGAGGGTTAAGCTTGGCCGGTTTTGCTTGAATTTTTTCGGTGAGATTTAGTTGTTTTTGGAGCTTAAAAGTAGTATATCGTGATTCTACATGTTTGGGGCTTCAATTTGGTATAAAATACGAAGAAAATGGTTGAGAAACGAAGGAGAACGAGACGTTCAAAGTTTGGCCGGAAACCGGCCGCCGGAAAAACCAGTCCGGCGAGCCCGATGTAGGGGATGATGTGCGTGGGGGCGCGTGTCCCCGTGCCTGTCCTGGCGAGTGGGGGCGCGTGGGGCCTCCAAAAAATTTTCTAAAAATTACTCGACGTCCGTGACGTCGAGTAGGTCGATGTGGTATATTCATATACCCAAATTGAGCATCGTATGAGAAGTTATTTCGAATTATTGGTTATGTGTTTAAATTAACGTTTTTATACTTGTTTCGCATATAGGTGACACCTATCCCGAGGACGAGCGCATCCAGGGACGTCACGGGGATTACGACCCATCGACTTATTAGTAAGTAGGCAGTTTTGATTTCGTATTACCTATATACAACTGTTTTTCCCAGAAAATACGTTTTTATGAAAGTTATGATTTAAATTGCCATGCATGAAATTGTTGAGATATTTAGTTTGATAATTGATGCATATATATGTGAATTGACGCGGTGGATGCACAGGTGAGTTTTATTATTATGCAGATGAATTATTGTATGTGAATTGCATTGAAAGCTCATAACATGCACCTAGGTGTTAGTGCTTATATTTATTCACCAAACCACACGCTCGTCTTGGATCCAAGTAGGTGGATGTCGTACAGACCATGTGAGGGTTCCGACATGCTAGTCGTACAGATCACTAGATGTGATTCCGACTAGTGGGTGACCTTAGTTATGCGCGATGATGATTGATGAGAGAAGCACTAAAGCGTATTTATACACCTTTCATCGTACAGACTACTTTATGTAGTTCCGAGTGACGTGCAGAGTTGGGCCGTATAGGTCACTGTGGTGACTCCGGCTGAGTGGGATGTTGAGCTTTAGAATCAGCCGTACAGGACCATTGTAGGGTCTCCGGTTGATTATTCATTTCACCTGATTAGTATTGATACATTCTGATTATATTTTGGGCATGGCATATCATTTCTGAGATGTTATGATGATGGATATGAGCTGAGTTTTGATGTTACGTATATATATATATATATATATATATATATATATATATGTTTATATACTATTTTCTGGGAAAGTATACAGGTTTTACGGTGAGGGGTTAGAAATGTTTTAAATGAAATGTTTTGGAAAACTCTTTGGTTTTACTGACCCAATCATCTTTGTTTTGCGCCCCTCCAGGTTCTAGTTAGAGGTTGGTGGCTCTCGAGGTCTTTTTCCGGCATTCTGACAGACGCTCTACATGTAGGACTCACCTACGGGTGATGTACTTTTATTTTAGTCCTACTAGACTGCACTTAAACCTATGCTTTGAAGTTATATGTTTACTTTATAACTCATCCTGTTATTCTAGTAGGTTGTTCTACTAGAGATTGGTTTGAATTCCTTCATATTCTGTTATATCTTGCTTCCGTGTCGCACTTTTGGTTACGTCACGCCCACGTGACGGCCATCATGCCTGGATCCTCTGGATCGGGGTGTGTCAGTTTGGTATCAGAGCTTAGGTTGCAGTCCTGTATAATTGTTAATGCTTTAATGATCTTTTGATGTTTTCTGTCAGAATTATGCCGCCTCGAAGAGAGCGTAGGGAGTCCCGCCGTACTCCTAATCCTAATTTCTCGGATATCGTTCAGTTGGGGGAAGTAATGGCTCAGGCTTTTCAGAATGTGATTCCTCCTCCCCCACCTCAGAGGACACCCCTAGATACCATGTACAATTTGAAATTAGATCGTTTTATGGGTGATGAAGGTCACGAGGGGGCAGAGAAATGGCTAGACCATATTGAAAAGACGTTTCAGGTGATGCAAAGTCAGGGGAACTTTCCGGCTGATAGGTGGGTAGAGACCACTACCTGGTTTTTGGGTCGAGAGCCGGCAGGTTGGTGGAGGAATCAGACGCAGTTTATGTCCCCAGCTATGGCATCTGATTGGGAGGTATTTAAAGATAATTTCAAGAAAAGATTTGTCCCCCCAGAGTATATTGATCGCAAGAAACAGGAATTTACTCGGTTGAAACAGAGGAATATGACAGCTCATGAGTACTACAGAAAGTTTACTGATTTGTCTCACTATGACCTGATACAGCTGGTAATTAGGGAGAGATGCTTCGACGTTTCAAATTGGGAACTAAGAGAAGTGGCGTACCTTTGCCAGTGCACTTCCCTGCGCCGATTACCATGAGTTTTTCGAGATTTTGGTCAGGATGGAGGATTTTGATAATCTTCCCAGTGAGAGTGAGGATGACGAGGACAAGAATGAAGGTTAGAAGAAGGATGATAAAGGTAAGGGTATCTCTATTCCGGGACCTCGCAAGACTCAAAATTTTAAGAAGAGTGGAGCAAGTTCGAGTTCTTCTAGTGGTGGATATAGTATTACTGGCCCGAGGAGAGGTGGTGGTAGATTTTCTGGTGGGCCTAGATTTCAGAGGCAGAGGGATTCTGGTGGTGCTGGTGGTTCTGGCGCGTCGTGGTGCCGCCGTTGTAATTTTTGTCATCATGGTGAGTGTAGGAGAGGTAGTGGTGCTTGTTTTACTTGTGGGCAAATGGGACATCGGGCTTCTCAGTGTCCCCAGGGTCAGCAGAGACCGCAGCAGACCACTATGCCACCTCCAGCGCCGATTCAGCATGGCTTTGGACCAGGCGGTTATGGCCAGTCGAGTCGTGGTGGTGCCTACCACTACCAGGGGGATGCTGCTCCGTATGCTCCCGGACCTCATTAGTATCCCCATGAGCCTTATCCTCAGGCAGGGTATTCTCAGGACTTTGGGGGTTATTCTTTTTATTCATCCATGCCAGCTAGTGGATCTCAGTGGCATCAGGGAGGTCAGCCCCGTCAGGGGGAAGTTGCTACTGGTGGTGCAGGATCATCTAGGCAGCCTAGTCAGCCAGGCCAGGGACGTACTTTTCAAGGGCGAGGTAATCAAGGCAGTAGAGGTCGTGGTGGACGACAGCAAGCTCAGGGGCGTGTTAATCACATCTCACTGCAAGAGGCTCAGAACCATCCAGACTTGATCATGGGTACGTTAAATGTTCTTGGTCATTTTGCTAAGGTTTTGATTGATTGTGGTGCTACGCATTCTGTGATTTCTCATACGTTTGCTCAAATGACCCAACCTCACCCTTCACCTCTAGGATTTGATTTAGAGTTTGCCATGCCTAGAGGAGATAAATGTTATGTTGATAGTGTGTATCTTGGGTGTCCAGTGATGGTAGAGGGCGTGGTTATGTCAGCTGATCTTATTCCGTTAGATATTGTGGATTTTGATGTGATTCTAGGAGCTAATTGGTTTTCATTATAATCATGCCCATATTGATTGTTATGGTAAATCAGTTACTTTTTATCGTCCTGGACTACCTGAGGTTACTTTTGTGGGCGAAAGAAGTGGGGTGAGACATGGTGTTATTTCTGCCATAAGAGCAAGGAAATTATTATCGAAGGGTTGTCAGGGATATTTAGCACATGTGGTGTTAAATGATGTTGTTCCTACTAGTATATAAGAAGTTGGTGTGGTCAGACATTATCTTGATGTATTTCCTGATGATTTGTCGGGGTTACCGCCAGACAGAGAGGTGGAATTCTCTATTTACTTGCTTCCAGGTACTGACCCCTATATCTCTAACTCCTTATAGAATGGCTCATGCTGAGCTGAAAGAATTGAAAATTCAGTTGCAAGAATTACTTGATAAAGGTTTTATTCAACCTAGTTCGTCACCTTGGGGAGCTCCGGTATTATTTGTGAGGAAGAAAGATGGAACTCTGCGATTATGTATTGATTATAGGCAATTGAACCGGGTAACGATTAAAAACCGTTATCCATTGCCTCGCATTGATGATTTGTTTGATCAGCTAAAAGGTGTGTGTGTTTTCTCTAAGATTGATTTGAGATCCGGTTATTATCAGTTGAAGATTAAAGAGGAAGATATACCTAAGACGGCTTTTCGAACCCGTTACGGACATTATGAATTTCTGGTTATGCCATTTGGGTTGACTAATGCACCTGCAACTTTCATGAGGTTGATGAATGAGGTATTCCAGCAATATCTTGATAAATTTGTTATTGTTTTTATTGATGATATTCTGGTATACTCTAAATCTAAAGCAGATCATATCCGACATCTTAACTTGGTATTAAAGAAATTAAGGGAGCATCAGTTGTATGCTAAGTTCAGTAAATGTCAGTTTTGGTTTACTGAAGTGGCATTTTTGGGGCATGTTGTATCGGCTCAAGGAATTCAAGTTGATCCTCAAAAGATAGCAGCGGTGGAGAATTGGGAGCAACCTCGAACCGTCACTGAGGTACGAAGTTTTCTTGGTTTAGTAGGTTATTATCGACGGTTTGTTCAGGATTTTTCTATGATTGCTTTGCCGTTAACGAAGTTGACCAGGAAGGATGTTAAATTCGAGTGGGATGAAAATTGTGAGCGGAGTTTCCTGATGATAGCGGTAATTCCTGATGATAACGGTAATTTTGAGATTTATAGTGATGCTTCCTTGAATGGTTTGGGATGTGTTTTGATGCAGCATAATATAGTGATTGCTTATGCTTCTTGGCAGTTGAAAAATCATGAAAGGAATTATCCTACTCACGATCTTGAATTGGCAGCCATTGTTTTTGCTTTGAAGATTTGGAGGCATTATTTATATGGTGAGAAATGTAAGATCTTCACTGATCACAAGAGTCTTCAGTATCTGTTTACTCAGCATGATCTTAATCTTCGTCAGCGAAGGTGGATGGAATTGTTAAGTGATTATGACTGTACTATTGAGTATCATCCGGGTCGTGCTAATGTGGTAGCTGATGCACTGAGTAGGAAACCTCAAGGTAGACTCAATGCCTTATATGCTAGCCGTGTTCCTCTTCTTGCTGAACTGAGGGCAACTGGAGTAAGGTTGGAGTTAGAAGACCGAAGTGGAGCTTTTCTTGCTAGTTTTCAAGTCAGGCCAGTCTTGGTGGATCGTATACTCGAAGCTCAGATGGTGGATGAGGAAATTCAAGAAATGGTTCAATTAAGAAGTGAAGGGAAAAAGAAAGACCTCAGAATTCGAGAATCAGATGGTATGCTTATGCAGGAAAACAGAATGTATGTTTCGAATAATGAGGAATTAAAGAAGGATATGTTGAGATCTTCAGTATTACAATTTGGTGATTCCTGGCATGATCACCTAGACTTGATGGAGTTTGCCTACAATAATAGTTTTCATTCGAGCATTGGTATGTCACCTTTCGAGTGTATGATGTAGGTGATTGGGTATTTTTGAAATTGTCACCTTGGAGAGTGTGGTACGATTTGGAAAAAGAGGGAAGCTAAGTCCGAGATACATTGGACCTTATGTGATCACTGAAAGAGTTGGTGAAGTTGCCTACCGGTTGGAGTTGCCTCCGGAGTTATCTAAGGTCCATAATGTGTTCCACGTCTCTATGCTTCGACATTATATTTTTTATCCTTCTCATGTGATCCCTCCTCAACCGCTAGAGATTAATCCGGATTTGACATATGATAAGGAATCAGTCACTATCTTGGATTGGAAAGATAAGGTTCTAAGGAACAAGACGGTGAGTTTGGTGAAGGTGTTGTGGAGGAACCATTCCGTAGAAGAAGCTACCTGGGAGACAGAAGATCGAATGAGAGAGATGTACCCAAGATTATTCTATGGGTATTAAGTGGTTTATTTGGTTATGGGAATTTCGGGGACGAAATTCTATAAGGAGGGGAGATTGTCACAGCCCGTTCCAAAACTTTTGTCGGGAAAGCCAAAATGACGGATTTACCCTCAACGGGCATTAAGGTACGTGTGTGTGTGACATTATCTAGTTTAATCTTAGATATGTTTTGGAAGAAAATAAATAAGATAAGTTGGATTATTAATTTGGTTCTTGTTAATTGGTTAGGGATTTAGAAAAATGGATGGTGTGGATTGAATGTGGACATCAAAACCCTCACACTCCCTCTCTCTATCCCATAGCCCTTTCTTTCTCCTCCATCTCGACTCGCTCTCTCTCTCACACCCATTTGGTACGGCCTCACCCAAAACCCCCCAAAACTCAGTGGATCGAAGCAACCAAGGTAAGAATCTTCATCCTTGAGATGTTTTGAGTTGATTGGTACTAGTTTTAGGACGTGAAACCTTCGATTTCACGTGAACCCGAAACCCCCATTTTTGGTCACTGTTCATGCACACGTGAAATGTTGTGTTTCAAGGAATTCTAAGCTTATAGTGAGCTTAGTGAGGTCCTAAGGAAGCTCGGAGTGTTTCGTTTGAAGGATTTGGACGTCGGGATCACGAGGGTTAAGTTTGGCCGGTTTTGCTTGAATTTTTCCGATGAGATTTAGTTGTTTTTGGAGCTTAAAAGTAGTATATCATGATTCTACATGTTTGGGGCTTCAATTTGGTATAAAATACGAAGAAAATGGTTGAGAAACGAAGGAGAATGAGACGTTCAAAGTTTGGCCGGAAACCGGCCGCCGGAAAAACCAGTCCGGCGAGCCCGAGGTAGGGGATGATGCGCGTGGGGGCGCGTGTCCCCGTGCCTGTCCTGGCGCGTGGGGCCTCCAAAATTTTTTCTAAAAATTACTCGACGTCCGTGACGTCGAGTAGGTCGATGTGGTATATTCATATACCCAAATTGAGCATCGTATGAGAAGTTATTTCGAATTATTGGTTATGTGTAAATTAACGTTTTTATACTTGTTTCGCATATAGGTGACACCTATCCCGAGGACGAGCGCATCCAGGGACGTCACGGGGGTTACGACCCATCGACTTATCAGTGAGTGGGCAGTTTTGATTTCGTATTACCTATATACAACTGTTTTTCCCAGAAAATACGTTTTTATGAAAGTTATGATTTAAATTGCCATGCATGAAATTGTTGAGATATTTAGTTTGATAATTGATGCATATATATGTGAATTGACGCGGTGGACGCACAGGTGGGTTTTATTATTATGCAGATGAATTATTGTATGTGAATTGCATTGAAAGCTCATAACCTGCACCTAGGTGTTAGTGCTTATATTTATTCACCACACCGCACGCTCATCTTGGATCCAAGTAGGTGGATGTCTTACAGACCATGTGAGGGTTCCGACATGCTAGTTGTACAGATCACTAGATGTGATTCCGACTAGTGGGTGACCTTAGTTATGCGCGCTGATGATTGATGAGAGAAGCACTATAGCGTATTTATACACCTTTCATCGTACAGACTACTTTATGTAGTTCCGAGTGACGTGCAGAGTTGGGCCGTATAGGTCACTGTGGTGACTCCGGCTGAGTGGGATGTTGAGCTTTAGAATCAGCCGTACAGGACCATTGTAGGGTCTCCGGTTGATTATTCATTTCACCTGATTAGTATTGATACATTCTGATTATATTTTGGGCATGGCATATCATTTCTGAGATGTTATGATGATGGATATGAGCTGAGTTTTGATGTTACGTATATATATATGTTTATATACTATTTTCTGGGAAAGTATACAGGTTTTACGGTGAGCCGTTAGAAATGTTTTAAATGAAATGTTTTGGAAAACTCTTTGGTTTTACTGACCCACTCATCTTTGTTTTGCGCCCCTCCAGGTTCTAGTTAGAGGTTGGTGGCTCTCGAGGTCTTTTTCCGGCATTCTGACAGACGCTCTACATGTAGGACTCACCTGCTGGTGATGTACTTTTATTTAGTCCTACTAGACTGCACTTAAACCTATGCTCTGAAGTTATATGTTTACTTTATAACTCATCCTGTTATTCTAGTAGGTTGTTCTACTAGAGATTGATTTGAATTCCTTCATAATCTATTATATCTTGCTTCCGTGTCGCACTTTTGGTTACGTCACGCCCACGTGACGGCCAGCACGCCTGGATCCTCTGGATCGGGGTGTGTCATTCAAGACTATCAAGAGATCATAAGAGAGTCCATAACTCTGTCCGAATTTATGTGTCTTGGCCTAAGCAAGCGAGTCATGATCCACCATCTCTCTCTTTCTCTATCTATCTAGGCACTAAAACTAAGCAAAAGACATACAGAGGTAGAAATTGGGAATGAAAAGCAAGCAAGGGAGGAGAGAGTAGTTGGCCGCAGAGGCTAGATCATTTTGAGTTCAGCAATTGTACTAGTTGACCTGACTTACACAAAGTTACAAAAGTTCTATATGCTCTGGACAATCTGACGGAGATGTCAAATACCAAAAAGGAGAAATGAAATTACCCAACTCAAGCACCTTACTTTACCCGAATAAAAATTCAATGCGTTCACACATAAGAAGAAAGACAGAAAATGGGCACATCCTCATGAGGGAGGAGGATTCTCTACCATCCTATTCTCATCCTCATCCATCATTTCACCTCACATATTGTTTTTTTTTTCTTGTTGTCGTGGTTTAACCGTGACCGTATAAATAGGAGAGCATGGAAGAGTAGAGAGATTAGGAGGGTAGAGAATTATCCTCCCGAGTTCACAACTTTCATTAAAGCTTACAATTCACAACTCACAAGTCATCCCTGCATAATTTTTTTTATAATACTAATGAACTAAATTTATAGACTAAAATTTGTAAATTAAATGACATGAAAGTTGATGATTGAATTACTACTTAAGCGTAGATTAACATGTTTTTTTTGGATTGGTGACACATTATTTTTTTTTGTAAATTTAGTCACCCTATCATTACTCTTCTTGTTTCCATCCACTAGTTTCATCTTTGATCAGCAGATCATCCAATGAAACTTAATCTTGACAAAGACAGCTAACCTACACCTGGTGGGTCACCGTAGCACTCAGAAAATTACTTGTTCGTTCATTATTAATCCAAAATGTCATGGTAGCTTACAAAATATACACGACTCTTCAATTAAAGATAGAAGCAAACTAAAACATTTGAAAATGAACGAGCGAACCTTGGTATAGAAAACGCATACCTCCCAAATTGGCTTCGGTGAACTAGGGTTTAGCCTGATTACGAGAAAAACAAGCGATGGATTACCTTTATGGTCAAGAAATTTCTCTTAAACTCACTATGTTTTGAATTCATACTCTTCCGCATCCCCTTAGTATGATTAGTATAAAATATCCCCTCAGTGTGAAATTAAGAAAGAAAGGTGAAATTAAGAATGAATCCAGCTCCTCTAGATGCAAGGAAGTTGCCTAGTGCTAGTGGAGGACATAGCCAGCCGAGTCCTTCTAAAGCAGATCACATACACACCTTAAAGTAGATCACATACACACCTTAAATTCTCCAGGGAGTACAAAAATTGAAAATTTGGAGAGACAAGGATTAATCACTTTCACATACTTAAAAAATATTTTATAATTAATAATGCTACTACGCGCTTTATGGTAGTGGCCAGCACACAGTAGGCAATAGCCGCCCCCCCCCCCCCCCCGCCGCCCGGCGGGGCCTTAGGCGCTTTACGTGCAAATTCAACTTTGTTGCTCTATCTACTGATTTCATCTTTTTGACCAGAGAGCATCCAAAGCAAATTAATATCGACAAGGACTAACCAATACCCGACACGTCAGTGTAGCATCAATGTGATGCACTTGCTGGTTTTGGTCGAGGCTGATTTTGAAAAGCAAGATCCTTCCCATTCAGTAGACCTGATTTCAAGAGTCATCGACCCAGTAAGAAGAGTAAAGTGAAGGAAGAGATCAAGGGGAGCCTGGTCGTGGCTGCTGGTTTTCCAAGCTCTTTTTATTTATTTTTTATTTTTTATATCTCTGTCGAAATGGTTTATATGGTTTTTACACAAGCAATATTGGAGGAGAGGGGAATTAGACCTCAGACTCTATCCTCACATGCAATTCATGTTTATGGAAGAAATATAACGGATGCAATAACTGAACTGAGTATAATACTTAGGTACTCTTCAGTGAGTATTTTACATATTCGCCCAATTTACTAGTGTTCTTTGTTTTTTAATGATCAAGAAAAATTAATAACATGCACATTACATTTTAAAACAATAAACACGTCGTACTAAGAACATTCCAAAATCAAGGAGAAAAATTATACTTCGCGCCACAAGCTAAAGGAAAAAAAAAAAAAGAATGAAGCAAAAGCGAGATACATACACAAAGAAATGAAATACCAAAAATACATTACAAGTTTGAAGGTTGAATTGCATTTTGACACGGAAATATTCAATTTTCTCTCTAGCATCCAAAATTTCCTTCTCCAAGTTTACTGTTGTGCTAGGATAGCACCAAACCAATTGGAAACTAACTCAAACTAACCTACAGGAAATTACCAAATGAAATGCAAGAATGAAATAGAAAAGACACCAAAATTTAACAAGGTTCCTCAACAATCAATGTAACTGGAGTACGTCCTCGAAGCAGTAGAAGTTCACCAATAATCCATTATCAATCAAATGGGAGTGTATATAAAGTGTTTGGCAATATCATAACTCAAACCCTCAATACACCTAATATCTCTCACTCACCAAAGAAACAAAGAAAGAAGGAAATATAGTGAATAACTAGAATAGATGCCCGCGCGATGCTGTAGGAATGTCAAATAGATTATAAAAACATTGCGTTAATGGATGCCCAGTCGATCCCTCTGAAAGCAAATTGGTTTTACAACACTAAAAATCTTGAACTCCCGCATTTTGTTCCAAAATTATATGCACACTCTAGAGAATCACTGAAGTTCTGGGCGTGAGGGGATTTGAATAAGTACCGACTTCTTGATGTTCAAAACAACAAATTTAATTATCACATTTCATAAACTGAAAAATTTACAAAAGATGAGGAATAAAGAATTTGTTTCCTCCAACTGCAATTGTTTGGATTTCTTACCAACAACTTGCTTACTTCCATGCCTCTTATCAGAAATCAAATCAAATCCCCACATGCACACCCTAACTGATTCTTCTCATACCTCACAGAGCATTTCTGGGACTTCTTTGGCACATGTAAGAGATGAATTTATAGTTTCAACAGCCTTTTTGCTCATCCGAAATCTATCATTGGTCTGGCTGCAAGAAACCCCAACAAACAAAAAAACAAATAAAATTAACAAACATATGTTGAATAATACTTCAAAACTTCAAAGATACAGAAATGTTTCTAAAATCATGGCAAAAATTGACTGTAGAACCAAGCATAGGGCTCGAGTAACAAAATGACAAACCAAGGGATACATCTATTATGAGGCACTCGGTTATCTTTGAAGGAAAAGACTACATAACGCATTGTACCTCAAGCCTATAATGTTATATCACCCACAGTTACACATAAGAATCAAAATAAGCACCATAATCCAAAAAATGTGATTTCATCACGATAGACATGTCAATGAAAACCCCTTTGTGTCTACAAAATGCAAAAATTAACCTCTTTTGAGAAATGAAGGAAGAAAGACTAAAGCCTAACTCAAAATATTTGACATTAATAACACAAATCTAATCCCATATAACCAGACAGAAGCTACACCCTAGAGACGGAAGAGGGGAAACATAAAGCAACCATACCCAAATGATTATATAATCTCCAGACTGAGAGTGAATTCAAAGCATGAAAGGGAAGTGAGTTCCTTGATTCCCGCATAGATCAAAGACAATTATGCACTTGATCATCACAAATGGGGTCAAAAGGTCAAAATTCACCCCTCAAAATTTCAACGAACCAACGAACTAAACAAAGCAATGATGCAGAAAAATGATCAGAAGCTTGAGATATATAAAAAAAATTAAATTAATTGAGTATATCCCCTGATTTTACAGATACCTTGCAAGTGGGGGAGC